GTGTGTGTGTGTGTGTGTGTTGTGATGTAGTGGTTACACACTGGGCTTCTAACCACAAGGTCAGCAGTTGGAAGCCACCAGCCACTCAGCAAGAGAAAAATGGGACTTTCTACTCCCGTAGAGTTATAGTCTTGGAGGGGAGGGTGAAGAGAGAAAGGGGGAATCCATCACAGGGATCAATCTATAAGCCCCTCCCAGAGGGACAAATAACAGAAAAGTAGGTAAGGGACGATGGAGGACAATGTAAGATATGAAAATAATAATCTATTACTTATCAAGGACTCGTGAGGGAGGGTGGGGGTAGGGAGGGAGGGGGAAGAAATACGGAGCTGATATCAGGGGTTCAAGTGGGAAGAGAATGCTTTGAAAAGGATGATGGTGGCATATGTGCAAATGTGCTTGACACACTGGAGAAATGTATGGATTGTGATAAGAGCTGTAAGAGCCCCCAATAAAAGTACAGGGGGGGAAATTTTTTTTTTAAAAAAAAGAGTTACAGTCTTGGAAACTCACAGGGGCAGTTCTACATTGTCCTATAGGTTCTCCAAGAGTCCAAATTGATTCGATGAGAGTGAGTTACTATGTTTTTATACATACTGCCATATGAGCTCTGGTGATGTAGTGGGTTACATGTTAGGCTGCTCACCACAATGTCAGCAGTTCAAAACCACCAATGGCTCTGAAAGAGAAATACGAAGCTTTCTACTCCCGTAAAGAGTTACAGTGTCAGAAACCCACAGGGGCAGTTCTACCCTGTCCTATAGGGTCACTATGAGTTGGAAACGACTTGAAGGCAGTTAGATTTTTTGTTTGGGTTTTTTGTTTTGTTTTGTTTTGTCTTTTATAGAATGGGAACCTAAACCGCTGGGTGAACCTTTACCAAAAACACAAGAAAATATTATTTTTAAATTTTATATATATAAAGGTTTCCATCAGGTTGATTCCAACCTGTAATGATGCTATAAGACGGAGTAGCACTGCCCCTTCAGGTTCCCAGGGCTGTCAATCCGCACAGAAGCAGGCAGTCTCTGCTCTCTCCACTGACCTGCACACCTTTCCTCAGACTTGAATCACCTCATCCTCATTTTCAGAGTACAATCAAGTGGTAGGAATTGTATTCACACGATTGTACAACCATCACCATAATGTGTTCATTGATCCAAATTAAAACTTTCCATTAATAATTACCAACTCTCCCCTCCCCGCAGCCCATGGTAAGCACTAATCCACATGCTGTCTCTACATCCTTTAGGAATGTGGGGGGTGGGGGGGAAATGCCAGCCCTCCACAACTGATCGTGAGTTCGATAGGTGCAATTGTATGCTTGAGATACATAAAGATTATAATAAAGTCATCGAGAGCATGAGAGATAGAAATAATGGAGTCAGACACATTTCATGGTAGCATGCTCACCTCAGCCCCACCTGGTGGTCCATGTGGAGATAGGGGGAGGGGAAGGAGGACAAGGGGAAAGGGAAGGGTGGGGGCAAGGATGGGAGAGGAGAGGGGAAACCGATGAGAGGCCAAGGGGGGAGCCCAAGAGCCCTCTTTATTGCTAACCTAGGCCTATAAACCTTTGGGGGGAGTGCAAGCCCACTAATTATAGGTAAAGACATACATCACAGGAAGGGGTTGTACTATAGGTTATACAGCAAGGAGAGGGGGACAATCTAGGGATGTACATGCAATAGGAAGAGGAGGGATTGGGGGTATACATGTGACAAGTTGGGCGGATTCTAGATTCAGGATGGCAGCCTAACTTTGGATGTCACTGAGCGTTTGACTTGGTCTCTGGATCTCCATAGAAACCATTATGTAGGGTGTAAACCCACCATGCAGGGCCCAAACTGATGGCCTCAAGCCTTTAGGGAGAAGTAGCCCATTGTCCTTAACAGCAGGGAGCAGGGCCTACCTGTGGTGGGACCAGACAGTAGTCTGGCAACTGAATGCCTTCAGGGAGGATGTCTCTAAGCATCTGGCCTCCCACCATATGCTGACAAACAGCCTCTAATGTTCGTCATATCTTTGGGGGAGACAAAGCTGGGGAAAAGTCTCTTTATAATCCCACAGGAATGGTGGGTTTTTAAATCAGACCACCCCCTGGCTGCGTCTGTACTGGAACCAGAGTGAGACTCAGCCCATTCAAGAGCCTGGGGACCTGGCCTATCAACCGTTTGTTCCCTTGTGTGTTTCTGTCTCCCTCAACTGAGATGCTCAGCATTTCCTTCTACTCTAGCATTCCTGGATGCTCTGAGTAAGCCCTCGTTTCTCCTACACTGACCTTCAAGGCCCAGTGTCAGACAACCGAAGCCACACCTTGTTCTGGATGCCAATTATGTTACTATGTTCTTTTCTCCCATTTTTCTTGAGCGAAAACCCAACATGAATCAGATCTTCCCTATCAATTGGTAGATTCCTTTTAATTGTTCATTTATTTGTAAATTTGAATTTAATAGCCAGGATTTGGTGAGGAGAAGCCCAGGAAAACGATAATGATGCATGCAATGCAGAAAACAGGTTAAACCTGCAAAGCTACCCAGCTACAAAGGTCACTCCTCTTCAGAGCAAAGAGATGCTTCCGGGTCATCTGATCCAACTGCCTCATCTCACAACCAAGTGAGGGACAGGCCTGTCCAGGGGCTCACGACGAGATAGGGACAGAGGCAGAGTTCATGTTCAGAGACCTTCCCCACCCTCTTGATTCTTTCTCCTCCGTCTGAGGTGCTCATACCCTCTGCTTTGCCTGCCACCTTTTCCCAAGGGTCCAACCCCAGGTGCTCTCCCGGCTGGCTCTGCTCAGCTGTAAAATGACTCCTGGTTTAGGGGAGTTCACAGGCTTAGAAGGCGTTAGCTGAAAGGGGGAGTTGAGGTCAGTACTTCTCTAGGCAAGGAAGCTCAGTGGCTCGCTCAGGGTGACACACTGGATGGGTTGGTGGCAGAACCTGGCCTGAACCAGTTCTCCCAGTGCTTCTTCCAGGCCACGATGCACAGAGAAAACCCCCAGTAGCAAGTCCATACCTCCTCAGCCACAAAGGCCATGGTGTCGAATGTGATCCGGCCCTGCTTCTTTTTCTGAAAAAGTAGAAGGAGAGGAAATAGAATCAGCAAGATGGGCCCCTAGGATCTTGCATCCCAGACTCCTTTCTAGTGCCCTGGGAAACGTCCTCCCTGCTGGTCCTCTAATCGCTACCTCTGCTTAAAGGGGTCATGGGGGGTGAGGGTGGGGGAGCTGATACCAAGGACTCAAGTAGAAAGTAAATGCTTAGAACATGATGATGGCAACATATGTACAAGTGTGCTTGATACAATCGATGTATGGAATGTTATAAGAGCCCACAATAAAAGGATTTAAAACAAAAAAAGTCCCAGCTCAGCCTTAGGATCGCATGCAGCCACGGCGGCATACTACTGCAAAGTCAGAGAAGCACAGGGTGAAGGTCAAGGGAAAGAAGAGTAGAGGGAAAATAAAGAAGGAAGGAGGGAAAGAAGAACAAAATGGGAAAGTGTAGAGGAAAAGGGACAAAAGTGAATAAATAAAGGAGGAGGACCCAGTAACTTAAGCCAGCCTCTGTTTGCTGTTGGTAGATGTCCTGGCAGCCCCAGGGGTGCAGAGGACAACTGCTTCCTACGATTTTCAAGGTTGTGACCTTTTGGAAGCAGACCACCAGACCTGCCTTCTGTGGCTTCTCTAGGTGGCTTCAAACCACGGATCTATAGGCCAGAGGTAGGGCTCTTAACCATTTGCACCACTCCTAGACCTCCCACTTTGCTTAATGCAAATAATGAGACAGGCACCACGCATCTTCCTTCTCCACCAGGACAAAACAGATACACAGTCCTGTCTTGAATTTGAATGGGGCCAAAGAACTTGCCCCACCCCGACCCAACCCAATGGCATGGAGCTGATTCCCACTCCCAGGGGCCCTGTAAAAGTAGAACTGGCCCAGTAGGTCTCCTCGCTCTGTTAGCCTTTCTGGAGGCAGACCGTCAGATCTTTCTCCCACGGAGCTGGGAGTTTTAATCACTTAACCACTGCGCCACCACGGCTCGCTCCTTCCAAGCATCCCACACCCAGTCAATGTTGCAGCTGGTATCCAAACCCACAGGTTCAGGTTCCATGGTCCATGGCTAAAGTGTCGTCAGAGGGCAAGGATGTACAAGATTCCAGGGATGAATAAATCCAACCCCATCGTGGGAAGACACGTGACTCTGGCTGGGTTGCTAGCCTGGAAGGCACTTCTTCCCTGCTCCTGCTCTTATTTTCCACATGGAGAGAGTTATTTTAATAGGACACTACTAGCCTCTCTCCTCCACACTGAGGAGTAACTGAAGTTCTTTGTTAAGTTTAGAGGGAGAAATCGGACACCCCTTTCTCCTTCCCTCTGAACTCACACCCAGCTCTCTCCTCCGCCCAAGGTTTGGGGCAGCAGGGCCTCCTGTGCAGTGGGGGCCCCCTTGGTCCAGCGCTGTGTGTGCACGTGCGTATAGAAAACCAAACTATTCTAAAACTGATTGTGGTGATGATTGTACAACTCTTCTTGTGTGGTTGTATGATATGTGGATTATATGCCAATAAAACTATAGGGCGGTGGGGTGGGGAGAGAAAATAAGACCCACTACCATCAAGGCATGTCTAACTTGTAGTGATCCTATCTAGGGTTTCCAAGGATGTCGATCTTTCTGGGAGTGAATAACCTCATCTTTCTCCAGGGTTTGCAGCACTAACCTTCTGGTTATGGGGCCAACACTTACTCAACAGTGCCACCGGGGTTCTCTCTGGGTGGATGACAAGAACCACCACCATCCGGTCACTGCTGACTCATAGCAACCCTCCATGGGTTTCCAAGACTGTAACTCCGTTTATGAGCGTAGAAAGCCCAGTCTTTCTCACGAGGGGCTGCTGGTGGTTTTGAACTACTGACCATGCAGATTGCAGACCAATGCATAACCCCTGTACTACCACAGCTCCTCTGGGTGTAGAAGGCTGTCTAAATGCTAAGGTTCAGTATTCTTGCCTGATGACATTCTTGCCGGATGACACAAGGCACTTTTTTAGCCTTATAATTACTCAAAGTGACAGTTGGGTCCCTCATCTGCTTCATTTTTTATCTTCTGTTTTAAGTTGATTCAGAGCTTGGACTAGGAAGTGGGCTGCTATTTATTGGACACACACCCCGCCCCCTGCCCTCTGCTTCAGACCCTCGTAATCCTGGAGATCCCAGCTACTTACGTCCCAGAAGGAAAAGATTGGGTGTTTTCTGTGACCAGTCTCAATGATCTGATATTCCCGGAATCCCCGGAGGCTTCGGCGGAACATTTTACACACTCGGATCATCACAATGATATCCCTGGTGAGCTGGTACAGCCCCTGTGGAGATAAAGCAAACAAGACCATTGGAAATCATATGCCGAGCAAGGTGAAGTCTCACAGGGTTAAAGGCAGTGGTGTGCTGGAGTGATGTTTACACTGTCAGGAAACTTTCTAGTCTATTGGAATCACACTGAAGCTTGAGCTTGACATTGGCCATGGCGGGAGCATTTACACCACAGAAATCAGCAACTACAGCAAACCAGAGCAACTCCGTGGCGTGCCGAGAGCTGGCTGTTACATATTTACTAGCATACCACTAGTTTCAGGGGAAGTGCTGCGAAACCACCATCTGCTTCTGAGGCGTAAGCAGGCCTTCCATTCCTGTGAGTTCCACCCCAGGGCAGTTCCAGGCAGTGTCGACCAGATGGCAGGGAGCTACGAAAGGATTCGTGATGGCGCTGTCAGCTAAGTATTGAACTGCTAACATCCAGGTTGGAGGTTCAAACACACCAGGCACTTCTCAGGAAAATGAGGCTCTCTGTTCCTATAAAGATTTACAGTCTCAGAAGCCCTGTGCGTCACTGTGAGTAAGAACTGATTCAATGGCAGTGGGTGGGTTTGTATCCCAATATGAACTTGGAAGTAAGGACAGCCTATGTCTCCCTGCCAAGTAAACACATGACATAGGGAAACAAGTTCAATACCACCATGAGAAAGTAATGGACAAATGCAGAGTGTGGAGCAACCTACAAATCGACTAATCCAGTTTCTTAAAAAAGTCGGTTTCATGAGACATTAAAAAATGTCCTTTCATAGTGAATGATGGGGGGAGTGCGGAGTGGAGATCCAAAGCCCATTAGTAGGCCACTGGAGATCCCCTTGCAGAGGGGTCTCGGGGAGG